AGAATGCTTAGCCGTTTTTTGGGCTATAACAAAGTTTCGGCCATACTTGTACGGTCGCCCATTCAGAGTAGTTAGCGACCATCATTCTTTATGGTGGCTCACCAACCTCAAAGATCTTTCCGGTAGTCTGGCACGGTGGAGCCTTCGGCTGCAAGAATTTGACGTTACTATCGTTCACAAGTCAGGACAAAAACACACCAACGCTGACTCTCTCACGCGCGCCAGTCGAAAGTACAAATGCTGACGTTGGAGAGGACAATTCATTCCTTTCCTCTGTATCAGCAAGCGACGTGGCTCAACAACAACACCACGACATAGATCTAAGCCCGCCCAGTGAATATCGCGAAGGCCGCAAAAGCAGTCTCCCTCGAAATTTCGCATACTCGCTGGCCTCATCATGCATGAAGAATGGAGTCCTCTATAAGAAGAACTTTGACCGTACGCAAGCTACTTACCTACTGGTTGCGCCGACCTCGCTACGTGACGATCTTTTACATTCTTGTTATGACGAGTCATCATCCAGACATCTTGGCTACACGCGCACCTTGCAAAGAATCCGGCGTTGCTACTACTGGACACGCCTCGCGAAGACAGTCACGCAGTACGTCCACACATGCCGCGACTGCCAACGCCGCAAGACTCCACCTGTCCGACCAGTAGGACTACTTACAGCCTATCGGCACATCAATAGCACCATATCATGAAATTGGCATGGACTTCCTCGCATCGTTTCCCACGTCTTCGTCTGGAAATTGGTGGCTTGTGGTCGCCATCGATTATTTACCACGTTACAGCGAAACAAAGACCTTGCCCAAAGCTACCGCTGCCAAAGTCGCCCAGTTTATTGTGACCAGTATCGTCCTCCGTCACAGAGTGCCAGCTGTGATAATTACTGATCGTGGGACGCCTGTCACCGCAGAGATGCTTCAAGAAGTTTTGAGACTTAGTAGTACAGAACATTGAAAAATCACTGCTTATCACCCCCAAAAAAATGGGCTCACTGAACGGCTGAACAAGGCCATCGCAGATATACTGTCAATGTATGTGGCCGTTGATCACAAGAATTGGGACAATCTACTCCCTTACGTAACGCTTACGTAACGGGGTTACTTACGTAACCACGTTTCGCTTGGTTCACGGTGTAGAGGTTACGACAATGCTCAAGAAAATGCTCCTTCCAGACAGCCTGAATATGTTCAGCGCGGACGCTGCCTTGTTCGGTCAACGCGCTGAGAAGGTCCATCAACTCGCCCGATGCCGTGTTCAGACTGACCAGACTGCCGACGCACGCCGCTACAGCGTTCGACAGGTTATCTTTCAATCAGGCGATGAAGTTTGGGTGAGGGTTCTCATCCGACAGCGTGTCCACTCTGAAAAGTTGCTGTGGCGCTACTTCGGCCCGTACAAGACTTTCCGCCGACTCATCTACGTAACGTACGAAGTTCTCTAAGAGGACACCTCAAGACATTCCCGTTGGCTGCCGCAAAGTGATTTGGTGCATGTTTCAATGCTCAAGCCATGTCTCTTGCGTCGTCAAACGAACGTGGACTGACTTTTGATGCAATGACTACTTATTTTCTTTTCTTGGCCGCTTTTGTACTATTTTGATGTGTCTTGTATCCTAGCTACTTCCTTCATAGCGTACTTATGTGAGACCAGCCCATTCACTTTTTCTCACGACGCAGTTAGATTTTATAGCAGCATCTTTTCTTTCTCATTTTTTCAACGCTCATAACCAGCATCAAGATGACGCTGGTTATGAGTGTTGATGATGTCACATGAGCCATCCACTGCGGCGGAAACTCGCTTGAAAGTGGATGAAGAAGAGGACGTTGCTTCCTGGTCTAGTTTTGGGCAAGACTTCAAATGAGGATTAGAATTAAATGTGGCAGTTATTTTATCGTTTAGCAGCATTAAATTAGGTTATAGCCACAGGGAAGTCTGCTCTGCGGCATTTGGCTACATAATTGAAACAAAGCAATTGCCATGTTAGTGTGCATTTATAAGCGCTACGGTTCTTAGCATTACTTATGTATGCCTCTTCTAGTAAAAGATGGACATGCAGAATATATACGTGTTGTCGTTCTGTTCTCGTGCTATAGCTATCGTCATTTCTGGTGGTGCGCACAATTAGATCAAGTAAGTTTTTTCTGTTCGTCTAAAGGGTACGTTATTTATGAATTGAAAGATAGTTGTTTCTGATGAAATAACACATAGTTAGGAGTATTGGGAAATTATTCTTTAATAAAATATGTCTTCAGTTCAAGGCTTAATAAAGGAAACTATTAACATGAAGACGCGATTTGAGCACTAGCTGATACGAAAAGATTGCCTCGTAAAGCTAGTTGGGCTTGCGAGGAAAACGCTCATTTTCAATCACCGAACGCCGACAGCTCATTATGCCCTTAGTTACACTCCGTTCGCCGCTATCAATGCAAGTCTGCTACTGTAATCCGACCTCCGTTTACGGAGCAGTGGTTCACCCAAATAAACAGTTTGATCTCAACGTCCAATCTCGTATACCTTCGGCCACGTCACGACCCCGTGACGTATAAACTATATTCGTGTGAAGTTATCAAGATTTCTTCCTATGTTACACAAATTGAAATATTTGTTGCCATTACGTATTAAAACAATTATATTTTTTATGTATCCATTCTCATCTAACATTCTGTCATTTAGTCGGGGGTATATGCAACCAAATAGATGGTGAACGTGTTTCCACTTTACAAATAAGAAGCTGGAAAATGATTTCTTCTCATCCGCCCTCATCAGCTGATTCGCTGTGTCAAAATTTGAACATACTGCCGTTTTCACAGTTGTATGAATTTTGCCTGAAGACAATAATTTCCTGCGAAATTAAACACAATTATACCGCCTTCTCAAAGAAATACTTAACCAGACAGATGACATACTGCATCACTGACGGGATCAAGGCCGTGGACTAACTACGGCACTAAAACTGAAGACTATCAACTAGTTTCTTCGTGTAGTGCACACCCACACTTAATAAAACTGGCCTTTATAAACGGGCCAACCACATGTATATCTCGTTTTCAAAAACAACTTGAAGTACTTCTCATGTCTCCGACAAGTGCATAGGTTTTCAATGATTTATTATAAAATGCACATGTTAGCTTTTGCTTTGTATACATAGCTTGCACCTAAGTCACTTGAAGTCACTGCTTGGAGCGAGTCAGCCACTTTGATGAACCGCGGTCAGGCCTTGCTAAGCAGCGTCTCGTTGAACCTACGAGTTTCCTCCTTCGCAATAGTTATATGCGCAATGATAGGCTGCTCTAATCGTAGCGACAGCTGCGGAAGAAAGAAGCAGTCCACTAGTACGAGCTTATTTCAAATACCGAAGGTTATGAAGACTAGCGCGAAGCGTCGGGGGAACTGGCTGGCACGCGTAAAGCGTGCGCATTTTGACGAACAAAACGACAACGGTCGTGTGTGTGTGGAGCTTACTTTGTAGAAGGTAAGCGACTGAGAGAGGAAGCATAATGACAATAATTAACGTAGATGCTCTTGTGCTCGCATGAAAGCCGTCCTTGTTGTTCGACGAGACTAACCAAGATTGGTTGCGTCGTCTCTGCAATTCGGCTACGGCTCCGAGCATACAGGCACCGCGTGGCATGAGCGCGAGGAAAAATTGCGTCACGATAAGTGGCAAGCAAAGTTCGAGCGGCGCCGACGACATGCCGATGCGGCGATCGTGGACGCGGCAGCCGAGTCAGCATCGCAGATGTTTGCAGCCAGCGATGCCCCCGCGTCGCCGCTGCCCGTTCACCTCTTAACGAAAGAGCAAATAATGCTGCATCACTAACCCTTCTGCCCCGAGCAAATTTTCTATGACTTACGCGAAAGGGTACATATCCATTTTCATCCTTCATTTTCCCCATTGCCACATTGAAATTTCATCACGCATTTCTCTTGCTGAACAAAATCAAGGCATCCGTTCGTGTATAAATGAATCCGAATGCGGCTGCCTCATGATGACAGTTCACAAGCAGCGACTCAATTCTCACTACTACGTTCACACACACGTACATGCATCTATGTTTATGACAAAAGGGACAGCAACACGCAAACAGGGAGGCATGATCTAAAAACGCCGCGTGAGCACCTCGCTGCTCTCGCGTGAGAACTGAGCGCGATCGCTTTTCAACGACTCGGGGCTGGAGTATGTATGTATTTGATGAACCACTGAACTTACTGCTGCAACGATAATCACTGTACGGTCACGAATCTCCTTAGCAGACAGGCTTTTATTCCAAGCCGCTGGTGAATTAGCTACGCGCTTCCACTGATATGAAAACCTTCAATTTGCCGAAATTACCAAATTCGTGCTTAAAACCGAATAGTTCACAATGTCACCATGCGACAACTTTGTGATGGCAGAGATGTTTTAAGCAGCACGCGTTCCGTGTCGAAGTGTGTACGGATCCACTTCCTTGCACAAGTGCACCTTCTCCTCGTGTAGCGAGAACGCGCTTCTCCTAACAGCTCTGAGTAGAACGCTGCATTTAACGGCTGCCTTGTGCCAACCAGCGGCATGGTGCACAAAAAAAAAATCGCGAGGAAGACAGTGACAGTGGCAGTGCGGCTCCATCGTACTAAAAACTGCAACCATACGACTGGCGCGCACAGCAGGTTTGAGTGGTGGTTCAGAAATATGGCCGCCAAAGTAGGACTGCAGCAAAAATGACGCCACGTGCAAGCTATGCTTCATATTCAAAAACATTTACTTTTTCTATTAGAGTTTGTAAAAGCTATCCTTATTCATGTGAAAATGCTTCTTTTATTTTATTCACATTTGGATACTGCTCAATGAGAAAATAATTACTTCTATATTTTTACATGTTTTCCCTGCTATCGGACATGTAAGTCCAGGGTAAAGCCTTCGTCAGAAGACGCACGAGTCTTTTTACGCCGTCGACACATTTCTTGTGTACATATGTCTGAAATAAACAAATTGAAATCGAAGCATCGCTCACCCGGTATGCGTCGCTGACCGCAAAGCCGTAGGACACAGCTGATTGTCTCGACGGGAACGTTGCCGTCGAGCACGACGACAGGAGCGTGTGCGATGTGCTCCTCGTTTTCCAGAACCTGCGCAGTAAGGTCAGCATGGTGGTGAGAAAATCGAATGATCGAGCGTGTGTCACCTGTGTGGACGTTGCTGCCTTTTCAGAAGATACATTTGTTTCAAAAACACGTGAGAGTTGTTAGGTATAAGAAGGTTTCTACAGAACGTAGTTAATGAAATGTAAAAGTGGAGTAGATGAAAAGAATTAGCCGTGAGTGGAAGGCTCAGGCCTGCACTTCGTGATGCACATTTAGAGAGCATAGGCTAACGAAGACTGATAACAGGAATCAATCACGAATTCAAAATCAAGTCGAGATTTGCTTGACAACGCAACGTGAAGGAAAGTGGTCTGAAAAGACGCATAATAAATTCTTAAGCTCAATGAAATGAAAATCTTTTTTATTTATTTTGAAATACCTTACGACCCCATGGGGACCATTATAGAACAAATGGTGAGAAGTAAACCGACATCCCAATGGGCCACAAAAATCTGGTGGACATCTACTGGTATGCCAGTTTTGGACATATGTATGTAAGTCGAACGGAGATACCCAGAAATCCGCCAGCTGTATACTATACGGTCGTCTGTAGACCTATATGCGCGAAAATAAAACAAAAGATTGTCGGCCCGTCGAACGTACGATGGGTGACAAAAACCGTACGTTCGGGCACAGGACGGATCTGCAGCTAGCCCTTTCAGTGCGCACCTGGGAATATCGCTGAAATTAGCAAGCGTTCATCGGACATGAATTGCCCTATATGAGGCTTCACAATAGAGAGTTTTAGTTCTGGGGCCTCAAGCGGCTTGCGTACGTGAGCCTTTGTGTTACTTTGTATTCTCCAACGGCGTGCGGTGAGTACTATCGGCGTCAAACGAAACCCGAACGCGGAGCGCGTATTTCAAGCATTAGAAGCACTATAGTGTTGGCCGTCCAGTCATCACCATTGACAGGCGTGCACATCCGGTTTGGCAGCAATGCGCGTTCCACCTAGAGTGCTTTATCTCCATTTCTGCTCTAGTTTTCATATGGTGACAATGATGGAAATCGTGGGCGTGCCAAGCGCTTTTGATCGTATCACTCGCAATTCCTTGTTTTTACTTCAGCGTCACAGTGCAATCGGTGTCTTGGCATGATAAAACAAAAAGAGATATATAATAGTTTTGTGGTTGATTTTCAAACGACTGTCGTATCTCGTTTGGCAGCGCTGCTTAACATACACCCTTCTTTCAGAGAACGACCCGAAAAGGCTTCATTTTAACTACTAATGCCGAGTGTTTCTTCGGAAGAGAGAGCGCAAATCGTTTCGCTTTAGCGGCATGCACGAAGTGAAACAGCGTGGAATCGCCAGCACTATGAACTGACTTTTGTTTACTATAAATAGAATTTTCCAGACATTCTGTGATGATTGACTCCGTGATGACAAACCGTGCTATACAATACTTGCCCTCGGCTGCAGTAGTCACCTCTCTATTTTATAAATTTTGTTCCTTTCAAATACCATACCTGGAACACAAGCAGAAATATTGCGCTATAGAGGAATTGCGCAGTGCTGCCTCACCGGATGTGCGGGCCTGTCTGTGCCAATGACTGGTGGACGACGCGCACTATGCCATTGATAAGGCTTGTGCCACGCGCTCCGCTGTTCGCGTTTCATTTGATGCCGATAGTAGAAAAGAACGCGGCAGCGTGCGCGCGCAGGCAATTCGGAAGTACAGCGGCTCTGAATCTCTCTAACACAGTGTTCGTCCTCGAGATTGGCGGAGGGTACCACGTACGCACTACGTTTACGCTAACCTCGATTATTTGTGCATGGGAAAAGCGAGCGTTCTATTATAGCGCACAAATAAAATCGCGTCTTTAATGAATGTACTTCTTGGTACAGAAGCGTAGCCAGGAGTTGGCACGACCGGCCCGTGCATCTTTTAAGTGTTTTTTTTTGTCATGGCATGGGTAGCGCAAAATGATCATTTGCCTTCCCTGCCCGCTCTGCCAGGTTTAATGCTTCAGTGGCATCACCTTAGCTCGCTTTTCTGACAACAATGCAACTAAGATATCAAGCAAATAAGGACACGGCAAATAGTACGGAGAGCAGCAATCTACATTTACTTCAAAAACCTAAAAGGACTTTCGAAAATTGCTTTCACACAAAATTTCATGAACAATATTATGATGTACTGAGGATCTCATGAAAAAAGTGCACTGGCGGTCACGTTATACATGACAGCTTTGTATGAGATCTTTAATTGGAAATGTTCTTGAACTCATACGTAGCGTGCTTACTTTTTTTTGTATGCAGCTTTTCTTCCCTGCTGTTTGGGCAAAACATTGGGCCGCGCCAAATGTTTTGCACAAACAGCAGTGAAGAAATCCTGCATACAAGTAAACTACGTATTAATTGGGAAACATAAGATAGATTTCTAATTGAAGATCTGATACAACGCTCTCATGTATTTGTGAATAACAATCAATCATAACTGCACTCAGGCGAGGCGCGTATACGTAGAAACGTTGAAGTTTGTCGGTGACTGGCCGGCATTATTGTAAACATGCTTGCCTCGCACACGCTCACTAACGCAAGCTGTAACCCGCAGAAGAACAAGAATATTCAAAATAGGCCGAGTCCGTATAGCTTACAATTCGCGCCGGCGTGTGTTCTATAGCTATACGCGTTCGATCAAGATTCAACCACGAGCTGTCATACTAACCGTATGGGTTATAATTTTGAAACGTTCTAGTAATGAAATGACGAAAAGTCAGGGGCGCGTAGTTCGACTTACCAAAAGAAGTACGTTATCCGAATGGGCGACGCTTTTAGCTGAATCCTATATCGGCAACGACGGCGGCAAGCAGATCCGGCCATCGAGTTGAAATGAACCGTCGGCGGAAACACAGAGTAGAGCTTGTTCTACACAACACTGATGCAAAATATGTGGAAAACATAATGCGGAATATTGGGAAGTTTTAGAATACTGTCTGCAAGCGCTGCGGGCGTAGCGGGTGCCATATGAGTTTTATATAGCGTCTGCCCTGCTGGAAACTGCGACGCACGATCGCAGTGACACCGTAGCCTGAAAACCAGCACTTGCGGGTCACATGCGGGCCGCGATCTATCTATCTATCTATCTATCTATCTATCTATCTATCTATCTATCTATCTATCTATCTATCTATCTATCTATCTATCTATCTATCTATCTATCTATCTATCTATCTATCTATCTATCTATCTATCTATCTATCTATCTATCTATCTATCTATCTATCTATCTATCTATCTATCTATCTATCTATCTATCTATCTATCTATCTATCTATCTATCTATCTATCTATCTATCTATCTATCTATCTATCTATCTATCTATCTATCTATCTATCTATCTATCTATCTATCTATCTATCTATCTATCTATCTATCTATCTATCTATCTATCTATCTATCTATCTATCTATCTATCTATCTATCTATCTATCTATCTATCTATCTATCTAAACGATGCGCAGAAGCAATCAAAGAGAGGGTAAGAAGAGACAAAAGGGTTGCAGTAGGGACGTTCCCAGGACGCAAGCTGGAAGCAGTCATGAGGCGAGCGGGCGTGAAACTCAAAACTACAGCGGATAGATGAAAGCTCATAATAATTGCAAGTGGTTTAAATGATGCCTTAAATGAAGATACGGCAGGACTAGCGACTACACTGGCGAAAGGGGTCGATGACATGCTCGCCATTTCTTCTCAGGCACTGGTAGCAGAGGTACCGGTGCGTGACGGCAACCCCCAAAGAGCGGATGTCAACGCAAACCAAGATATATGGTCAATGAGTCGAGAGAAAGGCTTTGAGGTGGTAGAAATAAATAGAGAGGTGAATAGGTGGGGTGGTTTTCAGCGAGACAGAATTTACTTCAATGGGAGGCTAGGTCATGAGGTAAGTTGGTGACTTGCAGGACGCGCAATAGTATTTTCGGGGGGCACGTGGGCCCTTCGGGGTGCAGTATAGCTAATGACGAGGAAAACGACAAGGAGGACTTTTTGACAGGTCTTTGACAGATACTCTTTGACAGATACGATTCCTAAGTGGCACCAACATCCAAGACACGTAGATTCCGGGGCAGAAATCAATGTAGCCACGAGGGCCGAGCCAATTCAGACGTAGGGTATATTAACATGCAGGGTGGCACGAATACGCTTAAGTGGGAAGAGATAGAAGAATAGCTAAGGGAGGAGAGGCCGATGGCATATAGTTTTGTAGAAACACATCTTACAAACATGGAATAACCTCCTAAGAATCCGGACTATGCATGGGAATATTGTAACAGAACAGAAGGCACCAGAAAGGGGGTGGTATTGGGGCATTCATTCATAAATGTACAGACTGGCAAAGGGTCAAGGAGGAGTGCAAGGAGCATTTATGGCTAAATGTGAAAGTGGCAGGCAGGGCAAATGACACTCCTGGGTTTTGTATACTTAGGGCAGGGGCAAAAGCTAGACAGGAAAATCAACAAATGGTGCAACGCATAGAAAATGACATTGACGAACTAGGAGAAGAGTGCGACGTAATTATATTTGGAGATATGAATGCGCACATAGAAGATATGGATGTATATACTGACCCGGCAGGCAGAATGTTAATGGATACGTGTGAAAGGTATGATTTATTCGTTTGCAACAGCAGCGAGAAATGCGAAGAGAAGATAACAAGGGAGGTGGGAAGGCTGCATGCAGTCCACGATAGATTACACAATAATGTCACACAGGTTGTATGATCGGCCAAGGGTGATGAACATTGATAAATATGGGTCTAGAAGGGTAGGTAGTGACGACAAACATATCAAGCTGAGTTTTGGAAGAAAAATGAGTTTGGAAAGACGGCATTACGAGGAACCACACGGTAATAGTTACTCAGGAAAGCAAATAAAAAGCAAATAAAGAGATGGAGAAAATAATTTCCGAGGATACTAAAACAGAGTGGACGTACACAAATCTGACTCGATTGTTTGAGTTAGAGCTTGCTAAAACACGAGTCAT